AGAGGTTTTTATTTAATAGAATTTTTGAACAAAAAAAATCGCAATACATCGCAATATATCGCCTTGTTTATAGTATCGAAATATATCGGGATATATCGGGATAAAACGTATCGTGACCCCTCTGTTATGATATGTATCGTATCGCCAAATTCTTGCCAATACACAGCCCTATCAACCACTAGATGTCGCTGAAAACAAATCCTACACACTGTGCCTTTAATACTCTGCTTAGTCAAAGTTAAACACGAAACGTCCAAGTTCATTACAACTAGCCCTCTGAGGGCCACCATAACGCTCATATGGCCCTCGGTTAAAATGAGTTTGACGCCCCAGTAGATCATAACAAAAGCTCTCCTTAGGATCAGGCTGAAAAAAACCAGTTCTTCAGGATTGCTTATCCTAGCTGAATATAACTCGCATTGCCGTGTTCCATTACTGCTTTTAAATTTAGTATTTAAGAGCTGATCCTCAACTCAAATGTCTTAATGGAAGCAAAGAAAGCAGCTCAAGCTTCTATTTAAGCACTCAGGCTTCACACTGCCAGCGTAAAACATTAAGTTGAAGTTTAGACAAAACAACGAAGAAAAAGCTGGGCATGTTCCGAGCTACACAATGAAACGCCTTGCTTCGGCGAACCCGAACACCTCACTAGAGGAGATATTTCCCAGTTTAAGAGGACTAAAATATTACCCAAGTTGTGCGCCGTTAGCGTGCCCCGTTTAATTGTCATGAAGCTGTTGCTTTATTTCAAAGTTCTGCAGCAGAATAAGCTTTTGTTTCAAACCCAATCACACACTGAGCCTTTAATTCCACTCTTTATGCTTGTGAAAACAACCATCTCCTTCCAACAGATGTGACAGGAAAGCTTTCGCTGCTGCTGCTTTACGCTTCAAATACGTGCATGGAGGGCAGAGACTGTTTTTAATAAAAGGGAAAAAATCATTCAGCAATGCAAAGATCCACATAACCTGCATGTGTGGTGCCTCTCATGGGTACAGCAAAGACATGCAAGAACACATTTCTCATTGTATCAGAAAGATGACATTTCCCTTTTGAGTTGGGTTTCTATACAAGTCAGTGGTGCAACGCCTTTGTTGTTGTAGCCTGAGCTGAGAAAAATGCCACTGGCAGCTTTGTGGTAACCATAACACGAGTGGGGGAATAAAACCTTATCCTCTGTGATTTTCAATATAAAAAGGGTATAGAGTTACAAAGAGCTGTGTGAAGCTGGCACCCCACCCACGCAAAAAATAAAAACTAGTAAGCGGATTGGTTAGTGCTTCGTTTGTGCAGGTTTGTGCAGTTAAAATGAGCGTTTGTGCTGTTATAGTTTTTGAGATATTAAGCATTATGTCTTCAGGTCATTAAGACGTTATAATCCCCCCCAGCAAGCTCCAAAATCAACCAAAGTAGTCTACATTATTAGTGCTTCGTTTGTGCATGTTTGTGCAGTTCAAATTAGCGTTTGTGCTGTAATACTTTTAGAGATATTACTAGTTTTT